ACGACAGACAGAGGAAGTGAGTTAAATAAAAGCTTGTAAAAAAATTCATAAAAAACGTTTTAATAACAAGCTTTTATGTAATGATGCACTAAAAAGTAGAAAATAAATTATAGACTACTATTTAAATAACTATAAAGAAAAGCGTGGGTCACTTTAGTATCTATTGGATACCTTTACTAATGTTAAGGAAGACACCCACGCTTTTCTTTATAGTTATTTAAATAGTAGTCTATAATTTATTTTCTACTTTTTAGTGCATCATTACATAAAAGCTTGTTATTAAAACGTTTTTTATGAATTTTTTTTTACAAGCTTTTATTTAACTCACTTCCTCTGTCGTCAGTCTGTCGACAGTCTGTCTAGATAGAAACGCAGGAGTGAAAATTCGGACAGTTCTACTTGACCGACACGATTCACAGTTGGCACGTGGGTCAAGACATGAAGACAATGCAATCTGAAACTAAATTTGACTTAATTGGATGCCTAATTAATTTTGTATGAATTAATTAAAATTTGGACCGAATTAGTAGGCATGTCTAGCCAACCACACCACACGCGTCATCACCTTCAATAGCTGCGCCATCACGTAATGGCTGCGTTCAAAAACTATTGCGCGCCTACTGAACGTGATGTTCAGTAGGCGCGCAATGGTTTTTAGTCATGTAACTCTATTGTAAATAAAACATGTAAAGTACTGAAAAAATTCATAAAAAACGTTTTAATAACAAGCTTTTATGTAATGATGCACTAAAAAGTAGAAAATAAATTATAGACTACTATTTAAATACCTATAAAGAAAAGCGTGGGTGTCTTCCTTAACATTAGTAAAGGTATCCAATAGATACTAAAGTGACCCACGCTTTTCTTTATAGTTATTTAAATAGTAGTCTATAATTTATTTTCTACTTTTTAGTGCATCATTACATAAAAGCTTGTTATTAAAACGTTTTTTATGAATTTTTTTTAAAACTTTAAGTATTTAAAATGGATTAAAAATCATGTCTATAGCCCGAGCTCCCATCCCCTGTTATTTTATATAAAAATATTCGAGAAAGTTTAGGGGAGATCACTCCCGGTTTATTTAAGAGTGCAATAGACTATGGATAAAAATGGTTACTATAGTCCTTTACTAAATCAAATCTGGGCGTACGCCAGTGATCCGAAACGGTGCTGTTCGGCGCCACGGACCTTCCCGTAAGCTCTATGACGCCTACGTTCGTTTTTAAATAGTTCGATAGACTGGATAAAAAAGGTTACTAAAGTCTTCACTAAATAAAATTTGGGCGTCCTCAGGCGCCCCAAAAGGGTGCTATTTGGCGCCCCGGCCCTTTCCATGAGCGCTATCTTGCCTACGTTCGGTTTTAATGTGTTAAATACTGTGGATCAGATGGGGTATTACAGTCGTTTACTAAGTTGAGTAGGGCAGTTCCACCGGCGCCCCGACAGTGTGCGATTTGGCGCCAGGGATAAAATGGGAGCACTATGCGTTTATATTTGCATTTAGATTTGTTTTTATTTTCTGCCTTAGTGTTTCCGTTAAGGTTTGCGTTTACGTTTGAATTTCAGATTGTGTTTGCATGTGTTTGGGTTTTGTTTGTGTTTATGTTTGCGTGTGTGTTTGCTTTTGCGTTTGTGTATGCTTTTGTGTTTGCGATTACGTTTGTGCTTGCGTTTGTGTTAGCGTTTGTGTTTGGGTTTTGTTAGCGTTTGTGTTTTCGTTTTCGTTTGTTTATGTGTTTGTGTTTACGTTATGTTTGCGTTTGTTTTTGTGTTTGTGTTTGGTTTTTTGTGGTTAGTGTTAGGTTTAAACTTAAAGTTGGGTTTAGGGTTATGTGTTCTTTTGTAGAACGGCCATGTGTTTGTGTTTGATTTTGTGTTTATTTTTATTTTTATGTTTGCTTTTATAATTGCGTTAGTGTTAGCGTTTTTGTTTGTGTATGCGTTTGCTTTTGTGTTTGCATTTTTGTTTGCGTTTGGGTTTGCGTTTGTGTTTATATTGCGTTTGCGTTTTTTTGTTTTTTCTTTCGGGTTTGTGCTTGCGTTATGTTTGCGTTTGTTTTTATGTTTGTGCTTTGGATTTGGTCTGCTCTAGTTAGGGTTCATTAAAAAAGTAATACATTTTCCAAACCCGATCGAGTATATGCTGATTAATAAACACACAAGTCATGGTCCTTTAACGATAGGTTTTTCACAGAGGCAAGTTCAGGGCCTGGTCGTGACGGCTAGTTAGATATACATTTTCACCAACAGACAATGTTAAGCTTGAAGTTTATTTTAAAATAATTACACATTTCTATTTCGGTTAATTGCTATTAATCCTTTGAATGTTTCATACGCAGGTAAAACTACAGCGGTTCTGTGAACTGTATGGGTAGCACCAACAGTGACAACGTGATATAAGTTGTGAACTACTGTTTTGTGTTGGATCCAGCGAGATCCATTTTGAGTTCACGTTTAGACAAGTCATTTGGTAATTATTTTTTTATCATACTCCATTTTGGACGACCGATTTTTGCTTGCAAGTGAGTTTGTTTTTGTTATTTACTATTTAAATATGGTTAAGCAAATGTTATACTTACGAATGTATTTATATTGTATATAGTTAGATTAATTCACATATTTAAAATAAATCATTTGATAAATAATATGCTTTACGTTTGTGCTGTTATAAATCATTTTCTCGTTCCTTTTATTTTGAAAATAAACTAGCATTTTAAAGTTGACGACTAAGCTTTTAACTCAAACCATTAGCATCTCCGTAAAATGTAAGAAAAGCAAAAAAAAAAAAAACAACTCTTCAATGGCTTGTAATAGCAAAACTTAAATGCCAGCCTACCCCATCCCCACCCTTCAGTGTGTAGACTGAACTATTTCTTTGAAGCTCCTGATGAGCGCTGGGCTGCAGCTACACCTCTCCACAGAACTCAGTTTTGAGCAGTTCTCTTTAAGTGAACCCAAATAGGCCCAGCAGCTTTTGCCTTTCCTTCCACTGTCCACCAGATATATATATATATATATATATATATATATATATATATATATATATATATATATATATAGTTATCAGCAGATACACGGCATTGCCCACCCCAACCACAACCAACCAAAACAAAATTTAAAAAACGCAAACATAACACAAACGCAAAAAAAAATACAAACACAAACAAAAACACAAACCTAATCCCAACCACAAACGCAAACACAACACAAACGCGAACAAAAAAAGCAAACGAAAACAAATAAAATTCAAACACAAACCCATCCACAAACGCAAACCCAACCCAAACACAAAGAAAACACAAACTGCAAACATAAACGCAAAGTGCTCACAGTCTAGCCCGGGGCGCAAAATAGCTCCATGCTGGGGCGCCGGTGGAAGCGCCTGTTTAAGCTTTGTAAACGACTATAGTTTCATTTTAGTTAACATTTATAGTATCCCAAACTTATCCGCAAACGAAAAGAAGTAAACATAGACGACATTTAGGAGATGGCTTCTTAACTGTTATTGATTAAAAAAAAAATTAGTAAACAGTACGTTCAGTGTATAAAATAAACAAAACGCAGTATTTAAAATACGTACAACATTGCACTTAATCAATCACCGCTAATTATGTAAGTATTTTTTACCAACACCAAAACAAAATAATGAAAATTAAATTTACCCCCCCCCCCCCCCCATATAATGATTTTATAAAGGGAAGTAAGCCTAATTGTGTTTTCCTAATTTATCAAGGGACGTAATGAGCGCTAAAGGAATAAATGTAAATAATTTTCAGACACAATTACAAGTTTTGTGTAAGTTGATACATTTATTTAAATTTATATATATATATATATATATATATATATATATATATATATATATATATATATATATATATATATATATATATATATATATATATATATATATTACGGTCGAAGTTTAAAACTATCTTTTGAATTTTGCTATCAAAGTGTAGTAAAGAGTGAAGAGGGATTAATGGGGGTGTTGAATGTTGTTTTTACCTTCTACTTTGTACCCTGTCTCGTTCATCGTTGTTCCATCCTTGAGCTGTAAGTTGTGACAACCGATTTGTCCCTGTTTGTGGGTATATAAGGTGCTTGAAAACGTGTGATTGCCTCAGTTTCGGCCCAGTACGTTAAGGCTACAAGGTTAGTGTAGGTTAGTACTTTAGTTTATAGCTACTAAATCTTAGTGTTTGTACTAGCGTATGTATTTCTGTATAGTATAGACTGTGTTAGTGTAGATAGTATTAAACTCTATTTATTATCAACGAGCTTTTGTTTGATTTAGTCTTATTTTGTAACCCGTTTGTTGTTGTTTCGACTTACATTTTGCGAGACGCACTGGATCACAAGTAAAGGCATGTCCGTATTCACAACATACAGGCTTTTATTCACCCAACCTAATGAAGCCACTCGCTAGGTTGAAGGTGGAGATCAGTGTTTCTTCCAGGTATCTTATTAGTCTTATTAGGGGTGATCCGCAACCCCCCCCCCCCCACCTCCGCCCCCGAAGAAAGTCTACCCCCCTCCCCGCCCCCGAACGAAATGGAAATTAATTAATATAGAAAATAAAATTATACACTTTTATCAGTGTCCGCCCTACCCCGGAAAATTTAGTCTGCCTCCCCGAAAATATAAAGAAGTGACCCCCCCCCCCCCCCCCCCCCCCCCGGAGAAAAAAGTCTGTAATAAAAACACTTGTGGAGAAACAATGCCATGAATGGGCGTAATATACAGTAAATTATAATAACCGTATGATAAGAACAGTATAGTTCCATTCAATCTTAATATGGTTAGTAAAATTTAAAGTAAAATATTATTAGCAGAGTTATGGACTAGAAATTCACTTATACTTCTAGACTGTACTTTATCTGCCCCAATTCCTCATAGGTTCTAACTGGTATCCTTCTGTTATGTACCACATTAACATATTATTTATTTTTACTTCAGATAGATATTTTTCTAAATTTCTATTACCTATACACATATAGATGGATGCGCCATCGAAGGAGAAGATCAGCAAAAATATGGTGAAATTGTGTGAACTACCTATCCTTTCACTAAAGTTGTTGCCACATTTACATCAAGTAGGTGTTTTTAAATAACACAGTAGCTATTTATATTTATTTTATATAAGATCATACATTTGTAAACATGTCATAGGCCAAAACCCCGGGACTGTCGAAAAGCTAGCGGCTATTTCGAGATAAACTCGAAATGGTGTTAAAACTAATCAACGAGAACTTTATCCGAACTATGTTTATGGGAAGCCAATACCTAAAATATTCACGTTTTAAGGATTTCTCTATTATTTTGAGTTGAGAAAATATTCTATCACTCTCACTTTTTGCATGCAATAATTTCAATACATGTTAAAAGCTAAACATCATTTTAAAATGTTTGAAATGTAAACCTATAAGTTATTAAAGTGAATATTTAACTAAAGTATCGACACATTATATACAGTTCTATTTACGATGCGCGTATTAAATTGGCGTGCCTTTTTCTAATTTTTCACGTGCAATGACAATAAACAGTTTAGATGATCATTGTAACTATGGGGGGGGGGGGGAAGAAGTGTCTTGGTTTTTAATTATTCAAAGATTAATTTTACGTTTAACGGGTTGTTGATTAGTAGCAATAGTTTCAAGTTTAGTATAAGTTAGTACTACTATTGGCGTTATGTATAGGGTAAAAAATTTACGAATATTTTTTTCAAAATCCTATTTGATGCTAGACAGAATGCTTAATACTTAATATATCTCACGCTATATTGGATTATCGGAATTTCAGAAAGAGATTATTTCTCAAGATGAATGGAATAATGTAAAGGCATGTACTAATAATCGAGAACGGATGAAAACCTTGTTGGAAATACTCTATCAGAAGCCTAAAGGTTATGAGTAAGAAGGATTTTGTTTTTTTAATTTTATATTGAACTTATTGTCTAATTATTTTTTTATTAAACTGCTGATCAAAACATAAACTATTTCTCAGACAACTTATAGAAGGACTGAGGTTGGATCCTCACAATATTGCAGATGAAATAGAAAATACAGTAACAACGGCTGATCCAAGCTTAAAGTCATGCAGTAAGAATACAATACAATACATATATGATAGCTTAATAAATTAATAAAAACAATCACACTAGATAAAGTATATATGATGAAATAGACTGAGAACACATAACACGAATAGTAATGCAAATTAGTACAAAATTACTACAGTTATCAAATTATAGTTGGAAATTTATATATGTGATAGAAGCCTTAGGGGTCATCCATAAATGACGTCACACTCGTAGGGGGAAGGGGGGGTCCGTAATTTTGTGACGATGTGTGATGAGGGGGAGGGGGGGGGTCAGATGTTGCGACGTCACATTTTTGCATTATAAAAAAGCAATGATAGAAAACGAATTTTGGACGTTATTTCGCGTTTTAGATAACTGTTTTAATAAATTGTAATAGTTTAGACAAGATTTTGGAAAAATATCAATGTTTTAAAAAAATTCAACTGCAATTTTGAGGGGGGTTGTAGGTTGAGGTGTGACGTCATTTTAGGGGGGGGGGTCTGGCTTTTTGTGACGAAGTGTGACAGAGGGGAGGGGGGAAGGTAAAAATCGTCAAAAAAAGCGTGACGTCATTTATGGATGACCCCTTAACTTTTTAGGTTAAATTAATTTAATAGCACATTTGTTATGTCTCGGTGTTACAATAAATGTGGACAATATAATAATGAGCAATAGTTCACTAAACTGTTAATTAATACATTCAGTATTCAAATAAAATAAATTTTAGATGATTAATAACCTAAAAAGCACATCTATATATATAAAGTAAAGTGGTCAAGTGCCCAATAGGGCACTTCCCGGCGCCGCAGGCGCGTCAAATTTGGCACGATGGTGCCGCCTTGGGGCGATAGAACACGAGGGCCGGTGACGGTTGGCCGAAAAGTCTACGGAGAAGGGGTCAAAACTGACCTCGACTGACCGGCGCCTTATATGGGCTATATTACGAAAAAAAATTTCCTCCGATGACCCCCCTTGAAATTTTGTGAGGTGGTAGGAGAACGCCTTGGGGTGTCACAAAAAACTCGCCATGTCCGGGAAAATTCGTTAAATGGGTCAAAACTGACCAGTCGTATTTCCCTATATAATCTTTGTATTTTATGGGAAAAACATAGGGTGATTTCAAAACGGATTGTAGGGCACTTACCCACTTTACATCTGGCTAATTTTTTGCATGCTCTTAGGTAAATGGCTTGACCTATAGGGAAAACGGTCGGTTTCACTCAAAGCCCTCGACGAGGGCTAAAAAGTGACCGCGAGTGAAATTCTCTTTATATGAGCTCTATTACGAAAAACAAATTCCTCTGACGACCCCCCTTCAAATTTTGTGAGGTGGTAGGAGAACGCCTTGGGGTGTCACAAAAAACTCGCCATGTACGGGAAAATTCGTTAAATGGGTCAAAACTGACCAGTCGTATTTCCCTATATAATCTTTGTATTTTATGTGAAAAACATAGGGTGATTTCAAAACGGATTGTAGGGCACTTACCCACTTTACATCTGGCTAATTTTTTGCATGCTCTTAGGTAAATGGCTTGACCTTTAGGGAAAACGGTCGGTTTCACTCAAAGCCCTCGACGAGGGCTAAAAAGTGACCGCGAGTGAAATTCTCTTTATATGAGCTCTATTACGAAAAAAAATTTCCTCCGACGACCCCCCTTCAAATTTTGTGAGGTGGTAGGAGAACGCCTTGGGGTGTCACAAAAAAATCGCCATGTACGGGAAAATTCGTTAAATGGGTCAAAACTGACCAGTCGTATTTCCCTATATAATCTTTGTATTTTATGGGAAAAACAGAGGGTGATTTCAAAACGGATTTGAGGGCACTTACCATCTTTACATCTGGCTAATTTTTTGCATGCTCTTAGGTAAATGGCTTGACCTTTAGGGAAAACGGTCGGTTTCACTCAAAGCCCTCGACGAGGGCTAAAAAGTGACCGCGAGTGAAATTCTCTTTATATGAGCTCTATTACGAAAAACAATTTCCTCCGACGACCCCCCTTCAAATTTTGTGAGGTGGTAGGAGAACGCCTTGGGGTGTCACAAAAAAATCGCCATGTACGGGAAAATTCGTTAAATGGGTCAAAACTGACCAGTCGTATTTCCCTATATAATCTTTGTATTTTATGGGAAAAACAGAGGGTGATTTCAAAACGGATTTGAGGGCACTTACCATCTTTACATCTGGCTAATTTTTTGCATGCTCTTAGGTAAATGGCTTGACCTTTAGGGAAAACGGTCGGTTTCACTCAAAGCCCTCGACGAGGGCTAAAAAGTGACCGCGAGTGAAATTCTCTTTATATGAGCTCTATTACGAAAAAAAATTTCCTCCGACGACCCCCCTTCAAATTTTGTGAGGTGGTAGGAGAACGCCTTGGGGTGTCAAAAAAAAAATCGCCATGTACGGGAAAATTCGTTAAATGGGTCAAAACTGACCAGTCGTATTTCCCTATATAATCTTTGTATTTTATGGGAAAAACAGAGGGTGATTTCAAAACGGATTTGAGGGCACTTACCATCTTTACATCTGGCTAATTTTTTGCATGCTCTTAGGTAAATAGCTTGACCTTTAGGGAAAACGGTCGGTTTCACTCAAAGCCCTCGACGAGGGCTAAAAAGTGACCGCGAGTGAAATTCTCTTTATATGAGCTCTATTACGAAAAAAAATTTCCTCCGACGACCCCCCTTGAAATTTTGTGAGGTGGTAGGAGAACGCCTTGGGGTGTCACAAAAAACTCGCCATGTCCGGGAAAATTCGTTAAATGGGTCAAAACTGACCAGTCGTATTTCCCTAAATAATCTTTATATTTTATGGGAAAAACAGAGGGTGATTTCAAAACGGATTTGAGGGCACTTACCCACTTTACATCTAGCTAATTTTTTGCATGCTCTTAGGTAAATAGCTTGACCTTTAGGGAAACCTGTCGGTTTCACTCAAAGCCCTCGACGAGGGCTAAAATGTGACCGCGAGTGAAATTCTCTTTATATGAGCTCTATTACGAAAAAAAATTTCCTCCTACGACCCCCCTTGAAATTTTGTGAGGTGGTAGGAGAACGCCTTGGGGTGTCACAAAAAAACTCGCCATGTCCGGGAAAATTCGTTAAATGGGTCAAAACTGACCAGTCGTATTTCCCTATATAATCTTTGTATTTTATGGGAAAAACAGAGGGTGATTTCGAAACGGATTTGAGGGCACTTACCGTCTTTACATCTGGCTAATTTTTTTATACACCTCTATAGATGACTACGCCGTATGGAAAAACTGTTGGTCAGACTTAAAGCCCTCTAAGAGGGCTAAAATGACCGCGAGTGAAATTCTCATTATTCGAGATTTGGTCATTTTCTATGAACAGGGGAGGTAACTTTTTAATGTAACAAATTTTAAATATTTTGTATACTCTTTTTAAGAAAAAAACAAAAATCATAAAGTATAGCATTGTTTTAAATCAATATTGTGTTATAAATTAAGTTTTGCATTGTACTGAAATTGTAAAAATTAATTGCGAAAGTAATTTTTTATAATATTTGATTGATACTATTAAGAAACCCCTTGCAGTTCTAATAACCTTGCGAGTAATAAGTTTGCGAATATTCCATCAATATAAGTATGTTATCAGAATTACTCCACTGTATAAATTTAGGCCCTAAGCACTTAACATAGCAGCAAATCACCTATTAATGAATCATTCAATTCCTCATTTTTTTTTTGAAATCCTAAGCGAAGCTAGGCAGTATGCCTAGTTGTAATAATAAAGCATCAATGAGATAAGACGAATTCTTAATAATGGAGAATTTATGACAGTTTTGTTGCGCTTTTTAGCGTTTTTCGTTGTTGTGTGCATCTTTGTTGTTGTTTTCTTTATTTTTTTTAAATAAATTAGAAAATTGTATATTTTTTACAAAGTTACATGCCTTGTTCTTTTAATACGAAGCTGATCCCAGTGAACTCGACCCAAAGATCCGTAGTGCTCTTCTCGAAAGTTTAATCAACAAATCCGGTGAATGCGCTTACCTGTCTGAAGTTAAGGAGCTATTAAAAAAGAAAATGGTTATTGAACAGGATGCTGATTACAGCGAAGAGAGACTACTACAACTGATTCAAAAAACGTTTACTGCTGTTATAGAAATTAAAAAGGAAAGACGAATAAGCCGGTGGAAGATACCGGACGTGTATCCTTTATTTAAATTTCATTATTGTTGTTTAAAGTTCTACATAGATTAAGCGAATTAGAAAACATTTTTAATGTAAGTTTCAAATCATCAAAATGTAGTTATGTGTAATTTAAATTGCTCTATACAAAAGCAATCGATTAAAATGTTTCAAACACCAAAACATTTGCTTTTAACATCTATCTAACAAGAATGGCTAACGCTTTGATTTTCTGCCGGGCCATTTTCAACACTTAAAATAAACATTTAATTAACTCTCTTGACTTTGATAAAGATACCTACGAAATATAGGAATGAAAAAAGACGGAAATGTTTCTGCTATAGATGATCAGGCTAATGATTATGTTTACAACTTTGGTAAGTCAAAATACTCGCATTGGAATGTAAAAAAAAAAACATTACCATTTAAACACATAATGACTGACATTGCTGAAAATTAATCGTAATTTCAATCGAGTTTCTAAATTTCACCTATATTTGTGGTGAAATTAAAAACGATAATTTTTTCAACGAACTAAATTGAATATAATATATTAATTTGTTTTGAAACTAAATATCTTTGTCGTAAACTTTTTGGCTTAATAGATTGTACAGCTGATGAAGTAAAAAAGTTTAAAACAGATGAGTTGATGACATTCATAGAAAAACACCTGCTTGAACATCATCTAGAGACAGGTTGTCTTGATTTGTTGAGAGCTGAACAGATCACAGGAAGGGTTTTTTTGGTACAAAATTTTGAATCTCTTAAAGAATTACTAAAAGAGTTTTCCATCGATATAATGAAATGCTTGAGTGATTTAATCACTCGTGTCAAAAATCCATTCCACAATTTAAGAAAACCTTTAGAAACCCAGAATCTGAGAAAATTTGGCAGTAATTACCCTAATAAAAACTATTCTATAAAACGCAAGCTTCCAGTGACAAGAAATATCAACGGGCCACTGACACAGCCAATCAGGAACTTTCATCTGGTCGAGGAGCAAGAATTAGATGATGCTCTTGAATTTATAGCATCAGAGTTCATTCCCTTTGCTTCGGCCTGTTTGAATGAGCGACAAGATGGGACGATTTACTTTGGCGTGAGCCCAACAGATTCTGATAAATATCAGGCAGGAGAAATTGTTGGTATAAAACTTCCACAGAAAGATATTTTGCAACGAAAAATTGATGTCTTTCTTCAACAATGTTTCGATGATAGTAACAGGGAACTTATTTCAAAAATGTTTCATGGCGCTTGTTGTGTTCCTGTTGCAGATGACGTTCGGTCTGATCTTTACGTCGTGGAAATAGACATTTTAGTCTCCAGTACATTACTTAATGATTACACCATCTACACGCAGATGGAATATCTTCCTATCTACCATGAGAAATGTAAGGAGTCAAAAGGCATCTTTAGATTATTTGCTGATGGAATTCCAAGCGTGTGTTCAGCAGAAGAAAAAAAAATTACAAAAAGAAAGATAAACCTACAATAATAGCAAAAAGGCTACAAGATGAGAAACGTGTTCACGAAAAAAAGAAAAACTTGGGCGTGAGACTGAAAACTTTGTTAGGTGTAGGTTCAAGCGGCAGCACTTTCATCTTCTGTCTCATAAGTCCTGACGACGCAGAGTCGCGACCAGACGAGCTGGAGAGTAAAGTCTCATTTATTCAGAACCTGAAGCCTAGGTGTGTCTTCGACTTTGCGACCAGGTCGGAAGGACTTTTTAAATCGCTGGATGAACGTCAGGACGATATTATAAGGGTTTCTGTCTTAGATGATTACGACCCGACTAGAAGAAAGAATGAACATGATTGTAAACAAGAAAGAGACTTGAGGAAGAGGGAAATATCCTGGGTATTTTGCTATGGTTATGAATCATTTTTACCCAAAAATACAATAGATTGGAAAAAAAACAGAAGAACAAAATTTCAGCATGCTCTAGATTTGTTCTCAGTAAAATACTCTGTCATAAGAACAATCGTGGTTATATGTTTGTTCTCTGAACATTATGAGACGTTACTTGAAGCTTTTGACTTAGCTGCTCCGCTGTTTGAAGGAAGATGGTGTCTAATTTGTAAAAATGAAGACATTGCAAACAGGTTTATAGAACAAATTAAAAATCGCAGGTTGGGGGACGAAAAAAATATAAAAGAGCGTTGTGTGGTTGGTCTATCCTGGCAGCAGATTGATGAAACTTTGCTTAGTTCAAGACCATCGCGTGCAAATATTAAGGCATTTGAACCATGTGCCTCTGGGGCTGAAGCTGAAGTCGAAAAATCGTATATCAACAGATGGTCAGACATTGATGTATTAACATCAAAAGAACTCGATTATTCGGATGTTGATTCAAATGAAAAAAAAGAGGAGGTTCTAAAAAGATTTTATCAAGGTGAAGAGGTCGATTGGTGGAACTTTTACTTTGGGGATCAAGTCCTAACGCGGGATGTACATGACGACCTGATGGCTAATGTCAGGGATGCACTGAGCATTCCAGACGACACTGAAGAGGTCCACATCTCGGAAGTAACACTTTTACACGAGCCTGGCGCAGGGGGGACAACCGCAGCTAAACAAGTGTTGTGGGAGTTGAGAAAACAATGGCGGTGTTGTGTTATAAAATCAATAACTGATCAGACAGCAGATCAATTATGGGAGCTTAGGAAGTTTAAGGACTCAACACCCAATCCTGTTCTCGTGCTTATAGATAACCCCAGTGATGAGGATGTGGAAGATCTTAAAGGAAGCTTAAACCAAAAGATTGGCGACAATACAGCATCGAGCAGCTCAGTATACTTTACACTAATTCGCTGTGAACGAAGAACAGAAATCCCAACTTCTACTCCACACATAGCCATTCGTCATAAGCTTACAGAGAGAGAATTAAGTTGGTTATCTGAAAAATCTGTTAAATTAGAAGTCGATTTTCAAAGTAAGTTATCTGATGTCAACCCACAATTTCTTATTTCGTTCAACATAATGAAAAACAACTTTGATCAGTCTTATATTTCCCAGTTGGTGAAAACATTAACGGAGTCTATCACAGATGTGAAGGAGGTAAAGTTAATGACGATTATGTCTTTCATAAACTCATACGACAGCAGAAAAATCCCTGTTCACTATCTGGATTGTTTGATGCTTGAATCGTCTTTAAAAGATGGAGATAATTCTTCAGACAGTCAATGGAGTCGGTCACCATATGGGGAACAACTGCTCAGTGATGCTGTGAATGCATTACTAAACACTACTCGGACAACAGACGGCACCGATGTTACTTTGAGAATATTTTGCAAACTCGTTGCGAAGGAGATTCTTTTATTAATGAAGGACAGAACGGGTCAGCAGGAAAGTGAAATTATGCTTGAGATTTTAAACTCAGACATCGATGTACGCGGGCCCTTTTTAAAAGAAATAATCAAACCAATAATACACAGCCGTGAAAATCTATCGGGAGATCGACGGGAAGATTTTTCAGAATTTGTAAAAAACCTACGTACAGAAGGAGCTGATGTGACTGTCAAAGTTATGAAAAAACTATATGAGCTTAATGAGAATCCTACAACGGCACAACTGTTGGCGAGGTTTTATTTATCAATAGAAGAATTGTGCTTAGCAAAGCAATATGCTACTAAAGCTGTGGAAAAATGGTCTGATAACTCCCATCTAATAGACACTTTAGGCATAGTCTATCTACATGAGCTTTTTAAAATGGTAAAAGAGTGCAAAACTGTGAATAATGATCAATTGCGAAAAATTAGCACACAATGCTGGCTAACATGTCATACATTTCAGAATGGACAGAAAATAAGCGAAAAAGGAGCTGATAATAGTAAACAAAATAGTAAACAAAATATTAAACAAAATATTAAACAAAATCTTGCATGTCATTTTAATGAGTTGAAAACTATAGCGTCATTTCTCAGTTTTGTAGAAAGCCAGGGATGTTCGCTTTCAGATATGCGTCATTTCCTTGTAGACCCGGATGCTCAAACATCATTTTTTAGCTTCTTTACAGAAGATGACATAAAATGTATTAAGTCGTTGCAAACGCGCTACGAAAAGGTAATGAGACGACTGGATGAAGAATATTTGAGTGTAGATACCTCTAAGGGGAAACCAAAGGATAGCTTCCGGCAAAATGACTTAATTGAACTTAAAGCAAAACTTGATCGGTTTTTTACCGAATATACAGACGACATACCAAGTAACTTATTTGGTGCATCAAAATGTGAGTGGAGGTGGAGACGGGCTAGAACATTGGGTGCTGTCTCCATTAAATCTCTGCTACAGATCAGGCGTGATGGGGACAAATTGAACAGGATTTATCAGTTAATGCTAGACAACCTTCGAGAAAGAAATAATAATTTCAATGATTACAGAACTATCCTTCAAACCATTTTGGTTTTAATGCTAGAAAATCAAGTACCGAATAATTTGATATTTGAAGACGTTCTAGAATGGAGCAAAAGGTACTACAGCATGACTTTAGGCACAGAGCTTATGAATCTTGATTGGTTTTTCTTTTTTGTACTTTTCAACTTTCCAACAAAAAATAGAGTGAGCTTCCCTTTAGTATTTAAGGCAGACTTAGCCACTGCACTTTCAAATTGGAGAACTGCTATAAATCAACACAACTTTCGACACAGCACGAAGAACGAATTGCACAAGGTTGTTTGGTTTCTGGGAAACAGAAACCCGGCTTATGACATTGTTCCTGTGTATGAAGAGAATGAAATATATCGAAACTCATACATGCTATATCTTTCTAAAGGCATACTCTCTAAAGGTGGGAGAAGTGTGAAGATTATCACTGAAGACAACGACGGGGTGACACTGAAAATAGAAACAAACAAACATGAACAGAACCATGATCGTTGGATGAAAAGTGTTCAGTTCTACATTGGTTTTAGCTTCACTGGCCCTAAAGCTTTTCTCATATAACAGTTCTTAAAAGCATTCGTTTTACTTTCCATCCACCCAATTCATCAGTTTTTAATGTATGGTAAAATATTACTGCAGTATTCAGCATTAGGAATCCATTCATTTACAAATCATAAACTATAATCAGCATGTTTAACGCCATGTTTCGTAACTCCAGTTTCAACTTCTTGTTCATTCTACCTCTCCGACATTTACTTGATGGGGTATATTATTATTCCGTGCAACTCCATCAAATGAACGTAACATGGACTTTGAAATTTCATCATTCGCGATTCAATGTAATTTTGGACAGAGTCAAGGGTGTTTTGCGATTCGTTTTACTAATGCATCTAAACAAGAACCAAACTGCTAAAATTTAGTTGTTGTTTTTTTTTTACAATAATTTTTAAAATGCTAAAGTGTTACGTTACACTTTCTGGCAACCCATTCCCCGTCTGACACTGTCACTATAGTAGGGCCTTCCTGCTCGCCAGTGTGACTGTGACGTCATTTATGTACTGCTCATACGGAAACTTGCTCTGTTATTTGATGATCATTAAAAGAATTGTTAAAATCATTTTGGTGAATGAAACTGGTGGGTTTTTTTTTCATCATAACGGAAATCTGTGATTATTTTTTTTTTCTTAAATTTCACGAAAACTTTATGATCAGTTTAATTAAAGTGCCATGTTATTGCTATACTTTTGATACTGTTACGTAGGTTTATACAACATATTTTAATTATTGATATCTATGTATGAATGATGGCCTTCCCTTTTCCATCTTCTGATTGTATAAACCAGACATCAATATCCTTTTTTTCTATCGCCACAGTTCTATCTTTTAAACAGTGTAGTTACAAAATTACAATATATTCCATATAAGCTTGTTAATTCTCTGATTTTTATAAAAGACTATTATGTTTACGGAGTAAATAAAAAGAATTCGTAATGCAATAAGATAATAAAATTCCACATGTGTATTCATAAGGTAGTCAACAATTTATATTTGTAGTGAAACAAATCGAATTTGTTTGTTTTTTAACCTCTTAGGTTAAACAGTGTCTTATTAATTAACCCAGGCCCAGCACTAAAGTGTTTTATTTATTCGGCAGTGCTCATATTAAAGCTTCAGAATGTATTCGCTTTGGAAATAGAAATTAATAAAAATGAAAATACTATTTTCGTAGACTTTTTTTCCAATTATTTATTTATTTTTGTTGCTTTTTCCAGATTTTAGTTTTACCTAATTTAAATATAATTAATTCTATATGGATCCTATACGTAAGTTTCTATCAGAGTAATGTACCACACGTTTCTCTTAAACATTCATAATATTGACATTTTAGATCAGCTATTCGTGAAACAGCAAAACTTTTTGCGTCGAGGTATTTTCTTGAAAAACGAGTGGTTTTGTCACACACGTACACACTATTTCTATACCCCGATACAACTTGAAGTGCCACCCCAAACACTTACTGTCTTATACGAATTTACGAGAAATCTTTACCTTTCCCGTTCATGCCTACGACAGATGGGTCAGATAAAGAGTTCATATGTTTAAATGGCATCGGCATATAAGGGGATAATATTGTCAGCACTATGCCCAAACGCCTTTTTCTCTAACAGGAGTCAGGTACCCATCAGAGATAGGTGGGCCGAGGGACGACAAACAGACGAGCCCGTATCCGAACTCGAGACTTTTGGGTTAGTGGGCGTTAGCTCTAGCATTCAACAATGTCATCTTACAACTAAATATGTCTTTTAATTTTTATTCTGAGCTTCGTGTCACCACCATCCCACATACACATTATACGTCACCCCCCACCCCACCTCCACATTAGCTGTCACCACTACCCCTCTTCCACATTAGGTGTCACCACAACCCCTCCTCCACATTAGCTGTCACCAATACCCCTCCTCTACATTAGCTGTCAACACTCCACCACCCCAACTGTAATACACTCAGGGGTAATTACATACGATGCTTCTTGGAGACAGAATTTGAATTACACGAACGTTGGCACGTGATACTCTCTTAAAACGAGTCACAAATCGATGTATGTTGTCGTAGTACGTAGTCATTCATGTACGCCATTTTTCGACACAATACGACTACACTATCCCTATATATGCCGAGAACACAGAAACAGATGAACTCTACTTCACCTGTCCCGTGTCCCACCCAGTTCTGATAGGCAACTTTATCATTCAGTTCTAAAATTTAAAAATATAAAATTGACGTGATGTGTCGCGAACCCGTAACACTCGCATGGTAACAATTACACTATCATCTCAGCTATCTAGGCACTTCCGATTAGGTGCAGAATTAGTGGGGTAATTTATTTAGATCTAGTCTAGACTCTGCAAGAAACACGAGTTAGGCAAATAGGCCCGAATGTTTCAAATTAAATTTTATCCCAAATTAGCAAATTCCATAGCTAAACAAACAAGGATTTATATAAAACTAGCCGTCCCGGCCAGGACCTGCACTGGTCTGTGTGAAAAACGTATAAAAGATAAACGCAAACATAAACACAAACTCAAATTCAAACATAAACGCAAAATGCTCAAAGTCTAGCCCGGGGCGCCAGATTTGCACCATGCTGGGGCGCCGGCGGAACCGCCTGATTCAACTTAGTAAACGACTATAGTACCCAAACTTATTCTTAGTCTTTTGCTCTCACGTAAATGAACATAGGCGCTATAGCGAACACTGGATGGCACGGGGCGCCAAATAGCACCTTGTCGAGACGCCGGAAAACGCCTGGATTCGATTCAGATAAAGACTTAAGTAAGCTTTCTTATCCATAGTCTATCGCACTGTTTAAAACGAAATTATGCACCATAGCGCTCACACGATAGCCCAGGGCGCCAAACCGAACCCTGTTGTCGCGCCGGTGGACGCTTCTGATTCAATTTAGTGAACGACTATAATACCCCAAGCTTATCCGCAAAGGGAAAGATAGAAGTAAACAAAAAGGACATTTAGGAGCTGGCTTCTAAACTGTTATTGATTTTTTTAAATGATTAGTGTACAATACGTTCAGTGTATAAAATAAATGAAAGGCAGTATTTAAAATATCTGTGTTTTACCTACCACATTTCACTTGATCAATCCACGATAATTACGTAAATTAATTTTTTTGCCAATACCAAAACAATCTCGGGTCCGCTCGCTGGCCGCTGTCACATATATACAGAATTCGACTTTATATATAAAATAATTAAGGCCTGAAATAGTTTAGTATAAAAACTCATTATTGGCATATATTCTAGATCTATATAGTAGATAGAGCTAGAACTAGATCTAGAATCTACGGCAGGCTTAAGTCTAGTTTTTCCGTAGCTCTAGATGTAGAATCAAGAAAAATCTAGATAAATCCTTTATATTCTCGAATTATATGATCCTTGTAGCTAAAAAACAAAGATTTATATCAAGTATTTAAGTACTAGCCTTGTTTAATATAGAAACTCAATATTATATTGTGTTTTTTTAATTGTTTTTTTATTTTTCACTAATTAATTTTGACCTAGATATAGGCGACATAAATTTTTACTTTATAATGCGCTAAACTTTTGAATGAGCAACATGATCTTCCATCGAAGCCGCCATGTTTGTTGTAAAAAGAAAATGAAATATATGACTTCACTATAAATACAGTCATTGTTCTGAAATTGTACAATTAAAGTAGTGTTTCTACCAATGAATATATCAAATAAATTAATTAACGTCTTTAAATGAATTTGTGATTAACAGTTGGTAAAAGGAACATTATTCTTTACATAAATACGTACTTTACAGCTCTACTCACAGTGCAGATTCTCTCCTGTAACCAAATGGACAAACAGACCAACAAAAAAAAACAATAAATATACACACTTCAAAAAAAACTTGAGTTTTAGTGGTATATAGATTATCTATTATCCATTTGATAACAAAAGTATTTTCCTTACATCAGCGAAAATATTGACGTTATTTTAGAAATGCTTATGACATTGGGTTTTATAGATCACACCTGAACTTTCCGATTTAATGCAGAATTTATTACTTAACTTGAGAAAACTCATAGGATTGCCTCGGCCCTTCACCGCAGAGCCCATTCAAAAACGGTACCTGTGAGGCCGGACCATTTATCACCCACCAAAATCCATTTTTACACGCAGATATACAATATATACATACATACACACACACACACACACACATATATATATATATATATATATATATATATATATATAATCTAATATATAAAGCTCAATTCTGTATGTAATAAGTTTGTTTGTCGTTAACACACTTCTATGGATTTAAGTGTTAGATAATTAAAGTCCTTATGTTCTAAATTTATGAGTTAAAAAATTAATATTGAAAGTTTTGGGAAATAATTTTCATTTATCAAACTGAAAGTAATAATTTTCGGCATGTTCATTAAACACAAGTTTAAAAAAAATATCATTTACAAAAATTCTAATTATGTTTTTATTTAGTCCTATAGCACTTACTTCCCTTTGATAAATTAGGAAAACACAATTACTTCCCTTTATAAAACCATTGCATTAGTGGAAAAGAATTTACATTTTATTAACACGTTTTTATTAACTCAGCTTCGCGTGTGTTTGTTGTTAAAATTGACATCGAAAATTAGCCCACTTCTGATTGCTCTATAGATCTGAAATTTGGCATGCAGGCTACTTTCGCCTAACAATTTCAGATGCAATCATAAAAACTAGCAATTAGAGACCGTAATTAGCTTAATTTAATTACGCCCTACGGACCATAAAATTGAGGACATGATTTCTAAAGATACCGACAAGACTGGAGGCCTATTGACACAGTTACTTTGGCCCCAATCGATGTGAGCGCGCTGGCTGTGATCGTATAGTGGTTAGTACTTCGCGTTGTGGCCGCGACAATCCAGGTTCGAATCCTGGTCGCTCAAGATTTTTAGTCCGTGTACTTAATCAAGTCATTTATAAAGTAGAAAATAAACTATATAAAAAACTTTTTTAAAAAACACGTTTTTCATGTGTAGCAACGGACTAAAAAGGAGAAAATAAAATACTTAAAAAAAACTTTTAAAAAAACCACGTTTTTCTTGTGGACTAAAAAGTAGAAAATAACTATTTACATACATTTGATGACAAAAAACGTGGGTCGGGCAGATGGGTCGGGAAATTTGATGGTGAACGTACCCACGTTTTTTGTCATCAAATGTATGTAAATAGTTATTTTCTACTTTTTAGTCCACAAGAAAAACGTGGTTTTTAAAAAGTTTTTTTTAAGTATTTTATTACTTTGTTTTGGAGTTGGGAAAAAAATTACATAATTAGCGGGGATTGATCAAGTGCAAATGTTGTAGGTATTTTACGGATAAGCTTGGAGTATTATAATTGTTCATTAAATTGAAACAGGTGCGTTCGTTTAAGTGAGTGCAAAAGACTATGAATAAGTTGGGGTACTATAGTCGTTTATTAAGCTAAAACAGGCGATTCCGCCCCGGGCTAGACTGTGAGCACTTTGCGTTTATGTTCGCGTTAGTGTTTTCTTTGTGTTTAGGTTGGGTTTGCGTTAGTGGTTGCGGTTTGATTTGGTTCGTTTTTGTTCTTTCAATTTTCGTTTTTGTTTGTGTTTTTTTCTTTGGGTTTGTATTTGTGTTTTTGGTTGGTTTTGCTTTTGGATTTGTTTTGTTTTCGTTTGCTTTTTTGTTTGTTTTTTCTTTGTGTTTGTATTGGTGTTTGTGGTTGTGGTTGGATTTGTTGTTAGGTTTTTGTTTTCGTTTGTATTGTATTTGTAATTGTGTTAGCGTTATGTTTGCGTTTTGTTGTTTAGGTTTTGGTTGGTTGTGGTTTGGGTGGGCAATGCCGGGTTTATGATGACTACTAAACACACAGGTAATGGTCTTTAACAGAAAGGTTTTTCACAGAAGCCAGAGCAGGGCCTGGCCGGGACGGCTAGTATATATATATATATATATATATATATATATATATATATATATATATATATATATATATATATATATATATATATATATATAAACACCCAGGTAAAGTGTATCGCAGAAAGATCTGTAATCAATAAAATCAATATGTCGTTTGGTTTCCCTCCTCGCACTTCCAGCTATAACTAACAATAATGCAAACTGGAATTTAAAAATTTTAAATGGCAATGCTCAGAATTGCTCACAGGGATCTAAAACGTAACGATTGGACAAGGTAAATTAAGTCAAAAGATAAGTTTGTACACATAACAATTTTGTTCTAAAGAATACTGCAATTTAATTAACATTTAATTCTTTACATGTTTGAGAAGCGTTACGAGTAATTCCTTAATAAGGGCAAACAATTACACCATATATTATGAGGTTAGAACTACTGTGATTTTACGCATAATGTGCTATACTTATGTTATTATTAGTTATTTGTAATATTCCTAGTATTAGGTGTTAATAAAATTATTTTCATGTCTGACGGCTCTGCTTTAATGAGTTACGCAAAACACAGTTCTAATAAAAAAATACCCATTACGCAAAACACAACTCTAATCAATAAAAAAATACTCATTACGCAAAACACAACTCTAATCAATAAGAAAAATACCCATAAAGCACGTGACAAGTCTGTGTGTAGCACGACAGTTGCTGCTAACACACGCCTAACACACCCCACCGCTCAGTGTGTAAAACGTAACGACACAAGACCTAAAAATATAACATTAGTCACGAACCGAAACAATGAACTAGAACGAAAACTTATTTATAGAAACTGAAACCGACCTGCTCACTACAGGTAAAAATAAATACCCGACGTCAACGGTTCTAAACTTGAAATTAAAGAAACGAACTTGCAGCGCTAGACCAAAGCATGATGGAATCAGCAATTGTTCAATTACAGAATCCCTGCATTGGCTTGGATTGATTATCCTTTCCTGGAAATGGTAGAACTAGAACTAGTAGCCAGAAGTGAAACTTTACAATGAAAACAAATTTTATTATTCAGCTACGCTTTCGGACCAGGTTGTCGTTGTATATTTCAGACTAGAGAAAGATTTCTCAAAGGTAAATTTGTATATATATATATATATATATATATATATATATATATATATATATATATATATATATATAAATATATATATATATATATACATATAATCTATATGTTTCATTCGGAGCTTATGTTTAAAAGTATAGAGTTGTATTTTTATTTACTTTTGGAATGTTATTTGTTTTCATTATATATTTACAGTTGGAACTAGCTTTAAGTTGTAAATTTATAAACACTCGCTCTTTATTTTATCTTGGTTTGGTAGCACTATGTAAACAAGGGGCCTTTTTTTAGCTAACATTTTAATTTACATAGTATTTTCTAAAACAATGGAGATGATTTAATGAGCTATTTTTATCAATTTTTTTTGCCTCAGACATGTAATTTACAGCGCCATGTTCGTCTTAGTATTACAGTTTTCATCATCGGCTTGTGCGGATTGATACAGATTGACAATAGTAATACTTCTTTCTCACATGAAGCCCCTACTTTTATTCATTAAAAATTGTTTATTTATACATAATACAAAACTAGTCATTTAATTTAATTTTTTTTTTAAACCTGAAAATTTAGATAGTGGTGATTCAATGTTCTGTAGAAAATGTGGAGGATCTTGTGAAGTCTGAAAAAAAAACTAACCTGAAATAAATAAAAATACAAGAAGGCATTTTTTGTAAAAAGGGTGAGTGAGGGTATAGGTTTATAACTGGAGCTTAGATAATTTTGGGATTAATTGAATATAATTTTTATAATAAAATAGATAAGATCTTTGTGACTTAAACAAAAGACAATAATTAATGAGGCGGGGAGATTTGAAAAATTTTGTTTTTGTTCATTGGTCATTTTTTTTTTAAATATCTCTCTCTCTCTCTCTCTCTCTCTCTGTCTCTCTGTCTCTCTCTGTCTCTGTCTCTCTCTCTCTCTCTCTGTCTCTCTCTCTCTTTCTCTATCTTTCCGACAAAGAAAAATTATTTCTTTGTGTACTGTGTTTTCATGAGTAAATACTATAATGAATGCTACATTCATTTGTTTATATTCTCGAATCAGAATATCTGTTGATAATATTTTTGGAAGCCAGATCTAATATAAATAACAATTTTAATGAATAAACTATTAAAGCTAACGTCGATGTAATAGATTAGAATACAACGGACACAGAAGCCTTCCAACATGTAGCTGTCTTTATTCGAAACCGGAAGAGGAACAACAATATACAAGGGACATCACTCATAACCACATTATAAATATAATACTAATACAAGAAGAGTGAGTTCCCTTGACTTCACAATTCTCAATATATTACATCCCTTTACCCTTAGTAAACACAACATATCTCTCAATAGAACAAATGATAGTATTCCAAAATCACCAATTATATTGTAACATGAACATTACATGATTTAAATCATTTGGTAGATTACATCCTTACAAACAATGCACAATATGTTACAACATAATTAAAATACAAAACAATGATGTCAAAGTCTTTTTGACCTTTAAAATCATAGGTCTAACTTATTTGGGACTTTGATTGTTCTGTTTGACCTTCTCAGTGGCTTTTGATTTGGTGACTCAAGATTCTGACCATCTGGATTCTCTATCTCATGAGATCTAGGATCTAAATCATTAATTCCAGAATTTACATTTTCTGACTCTAGACCACTTGGTTCACTCATATCAACAGAACTTGGTTGTGGAACAAACTGAGTTGGTGTGAACTGTTCAGATTTGGTGGGATTGACAGATTCACACTTATTATCTGCACAAGTTATTTTTAACTGGTCTGCGTGTCTACGGACAATACGTCCATCATTTGTTTTTACTTTATAAGACACAGGTCCTGTACATTGAACAATTTGACCTGGCATCCATTTTTCCCCTCTCCCATAATTTCTCAGATACACATCATCATTTACTCCAAATTCTCTTTCAATGGATGTTTTGTCATGATTTACTTTTTGTGTATGTTGATGTTGGGAAACAAACCTTTGAACAGTTGGATTTAGTAGGTCAAGATGAGTTTTAATTTTCCTACCACATAGCAATTCACATGGTGCAACACCTGTTGTTATATGAGGAGTTGTGCGGTATTTGGCTAAGAACCTGTTTACTCTTTCTCTGAGAGAAAACTTGTTACCGGTACTCATTTTTACCATAGCGGTTTTGAATATGCCTACCGCTCTTTCAGCCAAACCATTCCCAGCAGGGTGATAAGGTGATGTGGTTATATGCTCAATACCATTTGCTACACAAAACAGTTTAAATTCATGAGCAGTGAAATTAGGCCCATTATCTGAAACAATTTGATCAGGTAATCCATGGGTTGAAAATATTTCCTTAAGTTCTATAATGGTATCACTTGCAGTGATTGTGTTCATGATTTTAACTTCTAACCACTTAGAATGTGAATCAATAACAATTAAGAACATTTTGTTCATGAAGGGTCCTGCGAAATCTATATGTATACGTTTCCATGGTTCGATTGGCCAGTCCCAGTTTTGCAAAGGTGCTGTAGCTGGTTGATTTGAATGTTGTGCACAGCTTGAACAAAGCTTTACATATTTTTCAATATCAGCATCCATATGTGGCCACCAGAACTACGACCGTGCAAGACTCTTCATTTTGGAAGAACCAAGATGAGTATCATGTAAAGTTCTTAAAACTTCTTTTTGTAACATTTTAGGGATAATGACCCTTGACCCCCAGAGTACACATCCATCTTCTAGACTTAACTCTGTTTTTCTTATTTTATATGGCCTTAAATCATCATTCACTGACTCTTCAGGCCAACCATTCTTACAGTACTCATATACTTTTATCAAGCACTCATCTTTTTGTGTTTCTCTCTTAACATCATTCACATTTATAATGGAGTTATCCATGATAGTGAAAAGAACAAATACATCTTCTGGTACATAGCTAAGGCTTTGGTTTTTTAAAGTTAAACGACTAAAACTATCTGCACTATTCTCAGATCCAGGTTTGTATTTCAATTCATAATTGTATGCAGTTAGTGTGATAGCCCATCTTTGAATCCTTGGTGAGGCATGCTCAGGTAGGGGTTTGTTTTCACCAAATAAACCCAGCCATGGTTTACGATCTGTAAAGATGGTGAACTTCCTACCAAACAGAAACTTATGAAATTTCTTAACACCAAAAATGATGCCTAAGCCTTCCCTATCTAATTGAGAATAATTTTTCTCAGCCTGGTTCAAAGATCTACTGGCAAAAGCAATGGGTCTGTCACCCTTTTCAACTATGTGGGATAAGACTGCTCCTACACCATCTGGTGAAGCATCACATGTTAATATAAGTCTTTTCCCTGGGTCATAGTGAGTTAGTAAGGTGTCAGAAGACAAAGCTTCTTTTGCTGCATTAAAAGCAGCATTTTGTTGTTTACCCCAGTGCCAAGTTGCATTTTTCTTCAGCAGCTTGTACAGTGGTGATAGTTTACCAGACAGATTCCCTATGAACTTCGCATAGTAATTTATTAAGCCCAAAAAAGCTCTTAGTTGTTGGGTATTTTCAGGTTTGGGTGCTTCTTTAATGGCTTTTGTTTTCTCTGGTTGAGGTCTGAGACCTTGCTTGCTCAAAATATAACCAAGAAAACTAATTTCTGTCAGCATGAATTGACATTTATCTTTGTTTATCTTTAAACCTTTTTCACCAACTATTTTCAAGACTTTATCAAGTGTTTTAAGATGTTCAGTGTCATTCTTACCAGTTATGTACACATTGTCAAAGTAAACACAAACATTTGGAATATCCTTAAAAATACTGTCCATGACAGCTTGGAAAATTCCAGGGCTGGATGATATACCAAAACATAGTCTTTCATATTGGTAGAGTCCTTTATGAGTATTTATTGTCGTATAGACTTTTGAATCTGGATGCAGTTCTAGTTGAGTGTAAGCATGACTAAAGTCTAATTCAGTGAATTTGTCTCCTCCTGCCAAATTCAAAGAAATTTCCTCAATGTTAGGAATAGGGTACTTATTTAGCTCTATTTGCTTATTCAGTGTAGCTTTGTAGCTTTATAGTCTCCACAAATTCTTACAGAACCATCCTTCTTTAACACTGGCACAATGGGCGTTGCCCAATCGGAATAGTCTACCTTCTTTATGATGCCATTAGATTCCAATCTACTTAGCTCATTTTTAATTTTATCCCTCATTGCATAAAGTGGAACTCTAGCTTTGCAGTATCTTGGATTTGTGTCTTTAATGCTTATCTTCACTGTCCTATCATTTAGTAATCCTGAACTACCAAAAACACCTTCATTTTCAGATATAACTTTATCTATTGAAGTAAAACTAGATTCTCTTGCTTTGTTTACTGAAAATATACTCTCCCAGTTTAACTTAAGATCAACTAACCAGTTCCTACCCAGTAATGGTGGTCCATTTCCTTCAACCACAAGAAGAGGAAGTTTAACACTTTGACCATTATAGCTTACATGAACCATACACTCTCCTATTACCGGAACATTGTCACCAGTGTATGTTGTTAGGCACTTGTGACATGGTTGTAGAGGCACTGATCCTCCTGTGACAGCGTCAAAGTCTTTCTTTGTGATGACAGTTAGAGATGCTCCAGTGTCAAGTTGGAAGATGATGCTCTTACCGTTTATACAAACTGGTACATTGATGGGAGCATGACTTTTTGATTTCGCAGAGAACAGGTTGAACTCCGGCTGCGAATCAGTTTGAGCATTTTCACAGGTAGAGTGGTTCATTTGTTGGGTTAGGTAGTCTTGGTGAGAACTAACATAGTGCTTTCTTTGGTTGCGGTACTGTCTTGACTGGCTAGATTTAGCAACAGACGAAGACTTTGCAAAGCAGGCCTTGGCAATGTGACCTTGATTACTGCACTTATAACAAGTTGCTGATTTGAACTTGCATCGATGAGATGCATGGGGACCATTGCATCGATGACATTTTTGATAATTACTAGATTTAGATCTAGGATGATTTGAACGTGCAGGCTGTTTAGCATAAGTTGAAATGCTCAGATCGGGTTGGTGTTTGTTAACTAACCTGCTGTTTACTGCATGGATCCCTGAGGGTGCCAGAGATCTCGCCGCCTCAGATGACTGCTGGAATGAAGTTGCTAGTTGTATTGCTTTTTCCAATGTTAGATCTGACTCGAGAAGCAACTTTCTTTGAACATCAGGGCTATTTACACCTGTCACAAACTTTTCACATAGTCTGTCAGACAGCGTGTCGCCGAATTCACAGAATCTACTTAAATGAAGTAAAGCAGCAACATATTCTGATATTGATTCGTTTGGTTGACGAGTCCTACCGTCAAATCTGGCTCTACACAGGAACTTTGATGGTGCGGGCGCATGGTGGTCTGTTAGCAGTTTGCTCAGCTCGTTAAAGCTCTTGGTAGTTAGACTAGCTGGTGCGCATAAGTCCTTTAATAGCCTAAATTGTTGAGGCCCTATGACTGTTAACAAAACAGCTCTCTTTTTGGCTTCTATCGTCACGTCGTTAGCTTCAAGGTAAAAGCTTAACCTATCTAGATAATCATGAATGGTTTCATCATTCGAATCAAGTTCTTTTATTTGGCCATACAGCGCCATTATCCTAGAAATACTTAGCCAATATGCTCTAGCAAGCTTTTTTTAAAGTAAGCATGTGCTCTTTTAAGTCGATTGATTTATCCTCGTCGCCAGTTGTAATAGATTAGAATACAACGGACACAGAAGCCTTCCAACATGTAGCTGTCTTTATTCGAAACCGGAAGAGGAACAACAATATACAAGGGACATCACTCATAACCACATTATAAATATAATACTAATACAAGAAGAGTGAGTTCCCTTGACTTCACAATTCTCAATATATTACAGTCGACATAATAACGATGAATTACAACTGTTTTGGGATTTCCCCCTGAGGTCCATGTATGGCTGCATGGATCTAAACCCGCAACTTATATGTTTGTACAGCACACAATCGTCTGGGTCACGGCACCACATCTAGAACTACCTTTTGTGAAAATGCGTCTGATTATTATACTTACTCTCGGTTAAAATTTTGAAAAGAGGTCGCTCTTAACCATTAAGTAAAATTAAGCTAAATATTAGTTTTAATTAAATTATATCCTAATTTAACATATTCCTTTGCTAAGACGAAGATTTGTATTAAAGATTTAAGACTCGTTAATTTTAAAAAAAAACTTTATTCATTGTGTTTACAGACTTCTTTTTTTTTTAAACTCGTGTTACAAACTTGTAAATAGTAGGTCAATTTAGTATATTTAGATAGACATTTTTATTATTTATAGTAAACGTAAAACAAACGTAACAATACTTACAATGTAAATAATCTTATAATTTTTATTATTATTTCGTCTCTTCAGCTCTCTGTAAATGTTATACATATAATGTTATATTTTAAATGATAAGCTTTACAAATAATTAATTTTCATTATTTTGTTTTGTCTTGCTGTAAGAAAAAAATATCATTAGAAACCGTCTTTAAACTTACACACAAACTAGACATTCATGTGGAAGAACATTTTTTTTCTCTATTTATCTAGATGGATGGGATGGATGCACGTGATTGGGATAGACTTTATCAAAATCGAAAAGATTTGCGTGAACAGAAACTCGATAAGCTAGAGCTGATGAATCACTTATACGAGGTAGGTGTGTTAAGATTTCGATCTTATTGAAGCACATGATTTGTTCTCTTCAGATTTGGATATAGATTTACAGATCAACTATCCAAACACATCCGTTTTCTTTTTTTTCTTTTTACATTTTGACTTCGAAGCAAGTCTGGTTTAAAATCTAGTGTCTTTATGGATTTAGGCGAAAACATGAAAAAAATGTCAAAATATTTTTTGTGATTCCATTTTGTGATTTTTTAAAATAGACTGCTATTAGCAATATACCAATTAATATCACGGATGTTGAATAAGAGTATTTTAATTTGATTAAATTAATGTTTCAGTTAAGGCCCATTATCTAATTGAAGTGACAAACAGGCATACATAGATTACCGGCTAAATTTGTCTAACGACCCATACCGAAAAAATCCTGGTTTGAATGACAGCTTAAAAGGGTCGGCCTGGTCGAGTCGGTAAAGCTCATGGTTGCTAAACCAAAAGTCTCGGGCAGATGAGGCTCGTTAATTGAAGACAGCCAATCTTCTAAGAGAGACAACTCCAAAATCAAACAACTGCTGCCTTGTTCTTGGTTGGACAAAGGCTAGGAAGGCAAATTCTAAAAGAAAAGCAGGCTGAAATCGGAGTCAATGTCCTCAGTGGCGCATAACCAGTTGACATTGTGTTGGAAGAAGAATGACAGTTTAAAATTGATTTTTTTTTAAAAATTACAATTACATTGCTAATTGGGAAGGGTGATAAGACATTTTTGTGACGATGTGTGACGAGTGGAAAAAAATCAGAAAGTGTGAAGATACACTTTCACATTAAAAATATTGTGTTTGAAACTGAATTGTATTTGTAATTTTGCGTTTTAGAGTACTGTTTTTGTAAATTGTAAAAGAAATTGATTAATTTACTTAATGTTGACCGCACTCCCTACAAACCTTAGAAAGTAATGGATAATTTGAAAGACAAAAACTGCGATGATTTTGGGTTAGGGATGGGGGATGGGGTTGCAGATCAAAGTGTGACGTCAATTTATGGTGGTCTGGCTTTTTGTAACGATTCGTGACGAAGGTAAAATTCGTCAAATAACCGTTTAGTCATTTATGAGTGATCCTTATTCGTACACTTAACATACGTTTAAGAACTCATTTTATAAGTATAATATTTTTAAAATAAACATTACATATATCCCATCTTTGCTTTAACCTTTAAATTTTAGAAATTCGTCATTTCTCAAGATGACAGAAGGGAAGTGGAGACTTGTAAACCTACTACTTATACCAATCAAATGAACACCTTGTTAGAAATTCTTAAAAAGAAGCCCTTACGACTTAAGGCATATCAGTAAGCATGTTTTAATTGTCAAGGGTTATTTAAATGTTTTATTCTAATCTAATTAAAAGTTATGTATGCTTTTACTTTTAATGTTTTTGTCACAGCCCTTTTGTATGACTGGGTTCACGATATAAACTAAAAGTAAATACCAACCACATTACTGGAGATTTCACAATTTTATTAATATTAGATCTGCATATTCAGAATGACAGTCAGCAGCTACCCTACTCAACAAACACGACTTTAAATTTCGTCATCTTTTCTCTTCTGCCGCCTTCTACCTCTCGCTTCCTTTCCTTTCGCGCATGCGCACACCCACACTATATTTATATTTTATCTCGTCTTTTTAATACACACACTCACAACATACATTCATATACATTTAACTGTTATAATTTTAGACTTTTTTCAACAAACTAAAAATTTCAGGCACTTCATAGACGGACTGCGTACAGATACACCTTGGTTGGCAGATCAAATTGAAAAAACAGAAACAACAGCAGATCCCAGTCTGAAGTCTGTAGGTGGGTACTTGTTTATAGTAGGGCGAGTGGGGTGTTAGATTTTTATGCTAACAACTTTTGTCAATGGCTTTTCTATATGAAATATTAAGTCATGGAATTATTTTTAAAACGCTATCGGTCATGGTATCGATTTATTCAGACTTATTCAACCCGGAATACTAGTGTTCAGTGGACTTGCTTTATCAATAATAGAGATCAATCATGGACTTATTGATTACCAACATATATAGTTGCCGAAAGGCTTAAAGCGTCGATGAACTAGGATTGTAGATAGTCAATTATTGATAGTCAACTTACTTTGCTTAACTCGATAATTTGAAGTTTTTAAAACTGAATAATTCACATTATGATTTAACAGTAGTTGTTATTTTTTATTTTATTTTTTTTTTGTTGTTGTTGTTGCTGATTGTGTTTTTTATTCAGTCTCTAAAAATTCATTTAATTATCAGCTAATTAATTTTTGCTTTATTGTTTTAACCTTTTGTCTTTGCAGCTGATTCTAGTCTCATCGAGCAAGAAATTTCCGAAGTTCTCAGCAAATTGTACACACCCAAGAACGGTGAATCTGTTTACCTGTCTGAGGTTAAAGAAACGTTGAAACAGAATGGAGTCGATACCATTGCCGCTTGCTACAGTGACGAGAAACTCATACAGTTGATTCACAATGCCTTCACCAGAGTGGAAGAAATAACCAGGAGCAAAAGAATAGGCAGGAGGCTCATTGCAGACGTGTATCTTTTATTTAGATGGCTGGTCAGATGTGTATATTGGTGTAGCAAAACTATTTCTAGCACTTTATCATTTACATCTTACTGGGGGGGGGGGGGCGCATAATAACAAAACAGTAATAACAGTTAAAATGTATATAAGTTTAACAATTTATTGAAATACTTCACTGTAGCCCTATATATTTTTAGTTTAAAAACAAAATTATCTATATATATAATTCGCTTCTTGGAGACGCTAGAAAACTAGCTGTAAGCGCGCTCCCTACCACCCCACCCCTACATGGTCTGTTGAGCTTTGGTTCAATCTAAATGTTTACAATCGTAGGAAGAGAGGGGACTGCAAGGCGCGCTTAGAACTTGTTTTCTAACGTCTCCATGAAGAGAATTATATATATAGATACGTAAAAGCTACATCCTTTTTCAACAATAGTAGACCTACAATGTGTTTTGGTGATCGAAATAACATTGCTTAGGCTAACTATTGTATTTGTACTAGTGTATAAACCGTTTCGCCTTGAATGAAAACAATGTATGCTAAAACAAATCGAGCAGGTCAGAATACTGCCTTCTGCTAATTGTGTCCCTTCATGGCCCGTTGCTTCTAAGCATCTCAACAAAATAGCCAGCGAATTGCGTTGGTCTGAAAGGACGTTACAAAGTATATATCATTAGAACGTTATTTTCTTATTTATTTCCAACACGTTTATTTTACATTTTAAATTAATTTTCTTAACTTTGTTCAAGACGATTTAAAAATGTAGGTTTAAAAAAAAGCAGTAAAGGTTCTACTACAGGAGAAATCGACAACAAAGGTAAAGATGCTGAGGATATACAGTACAAAATAGGTAAGTAAAAATAAAATGAGTAAAACACTTTGTTGTTTTAGGGTGTTTTTTGTCTTCAGAATATATATGTTTATAAAAATTATTTAATTACCTTTATTCATTACTCATAATAATGTTTATTATTTCATTAGATTGTACAACTGATGAAGTAAAAAAGTTTAAAACAGATGAGTTGATGAAATTCATAGAAAAACACCTGCTTGCAAATCATCTTGAGACAGGTTGTCTTGAAGTGTTGAGAGCTGAACTTATCACAGGAAGAAGTTTTTTGCTAGAAACTTCTGAATCACTTAAAGGCTTACTAGAAGGTTTTCCCGTCAATTTAATAAATTGCTTGAGTGATTTAATTACTCATGTCAAAAATACAGAACAATATTCAAAGAAACCCTTAGAAACACAGATACTGCGAAAATTTGGCAGTAACAATTCTAATAAAACCTATTCTACAAAACGCAAACTTCCAGTGACAAGAAATATCAACGGGCCACTGACACAGCCAATCAGAAACTTTCATCTGGTTGAGGAGCAAGAATTAGATGATGCTCTTGAATTTATAGCATCAGAGTTCATTCCCTTTGTATCGGCCTGTTTGAATGAGAGACGAGATGGGACGATTTACTTTGGTGTGAGTCCTACAGATTCTGACAAATATCAGGCAGGAGAAATAGTTGGTGTACAACTTCCACAGAAAGATCATTTAAAAGAAAAGATCGATATTTTCTGCGAGAGATCATTCTCAGATAGCCAAAGGCAGCGTATCTCACAAATGCTGCGTAATGTTTGTTGTGTTCCTGTTGTTGATAGTGATCTATCAGATCTCTTCGTTGTGGAGATAGACGTCATAATTTCAAGTAAACTTTTGAACGAAGATACCTTTTACACAAAGTTGGACTACATTCCAATTCACTATGAAATATGCAAGCAACCTAGTGGAATTTTTAGATTTTATGATGGAATCCCCAAAATATGTACACAAGTTGAAGAGATAATAAATTATGAACGGAATGATAAGCTTAAAATTATTAATCAAAGGTTGCAAGATGAGAAGAAAAATGATGTTATAAAAACTAATTTAGGGGTGAAGCTACAGAATCTTCTTGGTAGTGGCAACATCGAGAACTCCTTTATCTTTCTTCTCACAAGTCCTGGGGAGCCAGCATCGACACAAGACGACATAAGCAGTGAAGTCTCGTTTATCCGGACAGTGGAGCCTAGATGTGTCTTTGACTTCGAGACGAGACCAGATGGAGTTTTTAAAAAGTTGGATAATCTTAAAGAAGATTTTATAAGAGTTTTAACTTTAGATAATTTTAAAACGAATGAAGACGCGAATTTGGGCAGAGGTGAAATTGCTTGGATATTCTGTAATGGCTATGATACGTCTCCAGCACAGGAGACAAAAGTTTGGAAAATGAAAAGGAGAAATAATCTTCAACAAACACTTGATGTGTTTCAAAGACTGTACCCGGAAAATAGAGTCATTGTGATTGTCTGTTTGTTTTCTGAAAACTATGATACCCTATTTGAAGGATGCGATGAGGTGTTTAAAAGATATCAGAAGAAATGGATTCTTCTTGCTGAAAATGAAGACTTGGCAAAGAGATTTTTGGACAGGGCTAAGGTTCGAGAACTAGCCGATACAGATGATGTATATGAACGTTGCGTGATCGGTCTGTCATGGGAAGAAGTGGATGAAACTTTGCTTAGCACCAGACCAAAGCGCAATAATGTTCCAATGTGTATACCATGTTCTTCAGGGGGTTCTGTGAAAGTTGCAGAACTTCAGCTAAAACGTTGGTCAGATTTAAATATTTTGACATCGGGAGAACTTAGTTCCACTGAAAGTGAAGACGAGCTACATGAAAAAAATGAAGAGGTCAAGAAAAGATTTTACCGGGGTGACGAAGTGGATTGGTGGAATTTTCATTTTGGGCACCATGTAGAGCGGCAGATTCATGGCAACCTCAAGGTCAGGGTCAGAGAGGCGCTGAGCAACCAAGATGGCTTAGAAGAGAACCTCATCACATGGGTAAACATCCATCATCAACATGGAGCAGGAGGAACAACCGCAGCTAAACACATTCTATGGGAGTTCAGAAACGAGTGGCGGTGTTGTGTCTTGAATACAATTTCTGAACAGACTGCTGATCAGCTTCTGGAGCTAAGGGAGTTCAAAGACAAAACACCAAAGCCAGTTCTAGTGCTCATAGATAACCAAAATGATGACATGACGGAAGATCTAATAGCAATAATAAAACAAAAACTCGAAAACCGTAACAAATTTTCCTATCCAGTGTTCTTTACACTTCTACGCTGTGTGCGGATAATGGATGCCCCCATCTCAGGTTCACACGTATCACTGAGCCATAAGCTGACTGACAAAGAATTACAATCTTTTGATGAAAAATTTGAACTTCTAGAAAAAGACTATAGAACTAAAAAATCAAATGTAGCCCCTAGCAGCCTACTATCTTTCAACATCATGAAAAATAACTTCAAAAAAGAATATATTGAACGAGTGGTCAAAGAGTTTACCAAAAGTATCACTGATGAAACAGAAATGAAGCTCCTCAAACTTGTTTCGTTTATAAGTACGTACTACAGCAATCCTGTGCCTGTGTTTTGTTTTGATAAGTTATTGCTACAACAACCTGAAAAATCCTTAGCAACAGCTGGATTCCCACCCAGCTTTGTGCGAAAACCGCATTGGGAAACAAGGCTGAGTGACGAAGTGCATGTTTTACTTAACATCCGCTTGAACAGAGGCTGGGATAGAATAGCAGCCTTAAGAATATTTAATAGGATGGTTGCCAGTCAAGTATTATTTTTAATGAGAGAGCGCACTGGTCAGAAAGAAAGTGAAATCCTCTTGGAGCTTTTAAGTTCGGTCGAGGTGTTTTGTTTTAAGAATCCTGATCCTTTATATACTGTCATTAAATCGATTCTCCACAACAGAGAGAAGCTATCTGGAAATCGACAACAAAAGTTTTCTCAATTCGTGGAAAACATACGTCAATCTGAAGGACCTGAAAAAACTGTTGAAGTACTTTCTGCATTGTATCAATATAATGGAGACGCTTTCACTGCGCAGCTTTTGGCGAGATTTTTTCTAGACATTGGAGAATGGAACAAGGCAGAATTCTATGCAAATAAAGCAGTTGAAAGATGTCCAAAGAACTCTTTTCTAAGGGACACTTTAGGCCAGGTTTTCTTTAATCAGATTCCAAAAGATGTACAAGATGTAAATGACGACACAACACTTATGAAGAAAGTACAGGATATTATTTTAATTTCCTACAACGCTCACAGAACATTTCTGGATGGACAAAGAGTAAGTAAAGTGGAAGCAAGTCACAAACATAAAGCCCGAAATCTTGCTTGCCATTTTGGTGAATTAAAAGCTATAGAAAATCTTCTGGAAGCTCTATCTAAGTATCTGGACGAGTCTACAATTCACGAGTATCTGGTGTACCCAGATAAACAAGTTGAAATACTTTCCTTTTTGAAAGATCATGAAAAAAGATTTCTAAAGTCTTTGGATCAACGTTATCAGAAACTGATGAGGCGCCTCAGCGAAGAATTGTTGCACTCAGAAGAATCGCTCTGTATCACTGAGCCAAGTTTTCAACAGAAAAAACTGGTGAAACTGAAAGTGAACCTTAAAAAGTACTTTGAAGAGAAATCGGACAGTGTGCCAGCAAATTTAAATAAGACTTTGAAGTGCGAATATCGAATGAGGCTCGTTAGAGATCTTGGTGCAACTTCTGTGGAAGCGGTGCTTACACTAAGGAACAGTAACGATAAATTGATGAAAATTATTGAATTAATAGAAAACAATTTAGCGGGAAAATCTGGCACAGCATACGAATACAAGTTAGTTCTTCAGGCCTCCTTTGTTTTAATGCTCGGAAACAGCTTGCCTGAGACAAAATTTAAAGACGTTTTGGGATGGAGCAAGGAGTTGTACACAATGGAAAGCTTTCAAAGAGATAAGATAGATTTGTACCCATTTTTCTTTTTTGTCATTTTCAATTTTCCAACACAAAGTAGAGAAGCATTTCGATTGCAATACATGTCGGAATTATCCACAGCACTTGAAAATTGGAAAATGGCAGCGATGAAAAAATGTAGCAGTTTAAGGGACAACAAAAGAAATTATTTAAACAGAGTCCAATATTTCCTTGGGAGCGATTCACCACCAAAAGACATCGTTCACTTTGATGATTTTAAACACATATTGGCCATGCCTGATACCTCTGAAAAATGGAAACATCCAGAACTCCGAAATATTCTATTACCTACCAAAGGAATGCTTCTAGAAGGCGGCAACTTAGTGCGCATTTACTTAAAAAACAAGGAAGGAGGCCACGTTTTGATCAGAACAGCGCATTTTGTTTACGATCGCTCCAGGTGGATGAAGAGCGTAGAGTTTTATGTTGGTTTTTGTTTGACCGGACCCAAAGCCTACATCATAGAATTTAAATAAGAACATGGGTTATAACATTCTAGAATAATGAAAGCAAAGTTTATGTCAGATTCACCTGAATATATCAAGTATAGAAATATTAAGGCCTGAACACATTAATTGATTAAATTGTTTCCACACTTATTGACTATAAATGAGGAATGTTTTTACTGCACTTTCTGGCTATTGTTCGTGGCAATTTAAGTTGTTTTAAATTTTTCAGATCTTTGTTATTGTATTTTTTCAAATCATTATTTACAATCAAATCTTAAAATCTACACCACGTTGTACATTTCAGACCGGTGCACATCACTTTTTAATCAAATCTTTATATCTATATACTACTAAAAAAATTGCGGAGTTTGTATTTTTTGTACAAAATCTTATTTAAAGACGCTAATTAATTTGTTGATATATTCATACGTACAAACACAAGTTTACAATTATACAAATTGAGATCAAATACTTTATTTACTTATTTTCCAGGCCCTGTATTCGTATCAATGCTATTAGTTAAATTAGGATATAACTTAATTTAAAATAATATTTGGCGTAATTTTATTTTACGGCAAAGAGTTACCTCGGAGAGTGTTTAAAATAGTACAAATAGTTATATTTAAAGGTGCCTAGCTGGCCGAGACTACAGTGTTATGGGTTCAAAAAAACATCGTGTCAGTGTTATTTTTGTTTTAATTTTCACTCAAAGAAAGGGCACATGGCCTTAATAATGGATTCATTTGTTATTCATTTGAGGTTCGAGCTCAGTAAGAATTATAGAAATAAATCTATGTTTGAAAAGACAATAAGTGTAATAAGTGTGAATTCTTCTAGATGTGTATTATAAAGTTGCCTTTCGGACCTGGCGGGACACGGGGCATGTAAAGTATAGTTCACCTGTTTCTGTGACCTCGGCATATGAAGGGATAGTGTGCTCAGCGGAAATCGGTTCCTTTAAAAGACAAAAACATGTTGGCTAATGTGTTACGTCTTTTTAGATGGGGGTCTGGCTTTTCGTGACGAAATGTGCCAATGGGGAAAGATAGGGCAGAAGATAAAAATCGTTTAACAAGCGTGACCTAATTTATGAATGACCCCTAAATCCACAGTTATCCAGAGGATAATGGGTGGTCTAGTATATACTAAACCTGTATTAATTATTAGAGTATTGATCACTCTGAAAAAAATATATTGATTTTCAGGTTATTTATAATGTAAACATGTTTATAATTGAAAATTTCTTTCACATTCCTGTAAACTAGATGTTTTATAGTCAGATATTTTATACGTCTATTTTAGTCAAAGCACTGTCTTTTTTTCTAAAATGTTTTAATCAAAGAGCAAGAACAACAATTGTATTGGCTGATTCAGCCAACAGCCGGTACCGTTTTTTTCCATGCTACGTAAGATCCCATCAAACACTGTACCAATTATTATGTTCTTAGTTTCGTACTGGGGCTTATGTAAGTTGTCGTGTTCCAGATGACGATTCGCATTTTAGTACTGCAAATAATAAACATAATTAAAACAAATATTGAGCAACAACTCTAAGTTGAAAGTAATAGAGCCCAAGTAAAATTCACAGAGGATTAATAAATAAATAAAAAGGTGAAAGATACTGTATCAGGCTAGGCCAGGGGTCGGCAACCTTTTGAGACGGAAGAGCCAAAAGTTACAATTTTCAAAATTATCCAGTTTTTAAAGAGCCACAAACATTTTTATGTCAATAATATGATCTTTGTTAAAGATTATATATATATATATATATATATATATATATATATATATATATATATATATATATATATATATATATATATATACAATTTTAAATAAATAGCTTTAAATGTATGAAATGATCTCATTTGTTTCTGTGTTGAAAGGGTCTGCTATAAACGTCAGAGTGCTTGAATTTGTTTTGAATTGCTCAAATCTCTCAGTGAAAACACCCTTCATTTTGTTTATAGTAATACTGAAGTGATTCATGTTAGTAGTAGCATTGGTTTCATCACGATATTTTTTTTCTTCGGATTTTTTTGTAATTAAGTAATTTACCGCTCTCCATGTCTTAAACAAAAAAAAAGTTTTTTTTTAAACAAACCACTTCTTCAAGCAAGGCATAGGCTGAGTTTTCCTTTTAGTTTTACATTTAGCTCGTTTAGTTTCTTTATGATCTCCACCATGAAGTTGAATGTTGCAATTTGGGATAGACAAGTTAATAGAAAGTACATTGAAATATGGCGTTACTAAATATTCTAATAGAATAGCGAGTGTTTATTGTTTATGTTTATTATTTTATCGTTCAATACCAAGTGTTGCAGAACAATATTTTTATTGAGCATAAAGCTGAAGAGCCGCAACTTGACATCAAAAGAGCCGCATGCGGCTCGCGAGCCGCAGGTTGCCGACCCCTGGGCTAGGCTACTCAAAAAAAAAACATGGGAAAAGAAATGTATAATTTAAAACATTATTATACTAGAAGAGATGATACTGCAGCGAAGCAATAATATTAATGGCTGGTTCGTTCCTAAATTGCCATAATAGTCAAAATTGTATGTAATTAGTTGGCTTTTAATTGCAATGTTTATAAGTTTTATTTTCTAAATTAATGTAAGTTAATACTTTTTTTTAAATGTCCAATCTTGATTGACATGTTTTCTGCGAATACTAAAATAAGTGGATAATGCACAGATTTTTTTATTGTTGTTTTTCACTCATAATTTTATTCAATTTTACTAGCAGCTTTCTTAACTTCAGATAGTTTTTTTTTAATGGTTTTGATACTTTAATAAAAAAAAATTTCTTGTCAAGTGTGATTGATCATTAGCTTTTCTATTTCTCTATAACTTATAGGCTGTACTAGTTTTATTCAACATACACTTTGTATTTTTTTTTTTTACATTTTATAAATAAAGACTAGAATTTCATTTCAGACAAAACGTGTTTATTACTTTATTGAAAATTTTAGTTAGCGTAGAATTAAATTTAATTAATTTTTAACAAATGAGATATGCACTGGTACAGCTGAGCTGAGCGTCAGTTACTTAATGTAAGCAAGGAATCATTTAATAAGTCAGTGACATTCCCCTCAGCCTATCAATCCCCCGGTAACTATCCTCAAACCAGAGGCGTAGCGACCCTTCCCGGCGCCCGGGACAAACTTTTCGATTTGCACCCCCCCTCGAGATTTTGATTTGCACCCCCCCCCTCAAACTTTCGATTTGCACCCCCCCCCCTCGAGATTTTGATTTGCACCCCCCCCCCCCCTTCAAACTTTCAATTTTGCACCCCCCCTCAACCTTTCAATTTATTTTTCCAACCCATTTTGGCGCCCCCTAAGCTCGGCGCCCGGGGACATATGTCCTCCCCCCACCCCCCCGCCGTCCCCCCCTCGCTACGCTACTGCCTCAAACTCCCCTCCGCTACGTTTATAACCATACAACCCCCCCCCCCCCCTCCCCGTCAATCACTCAGAAACGTTACAATGTACATTATTCCGGCAGTTACATTGTAATGTGTTGTAAGATCGGATATCTCAAATACTAAGCATTTCTAACATGCCAAATATTTACATTTTACATTTTATTGTCGGTGCTCTCCCTTTGTCGTTCCTAAACACCCTCGATGCGTTATAGAAAGTTTGGCTACTAGATCTAGAACTGATATTTCTGACAAGATATGACAACAAATGTATGTAGCCTTAAATCATCTTGGTGTATTTAGGCTAGAATAAAAAACTTCATGCGGGTGAGTTAAGTGAGCTAAATAGTAGTAAGTCCACCAGGTGGCACCAATTAATCATATCATTGTTATTTGTAGGTTGATATTTTTTTGGGTAGGGGTGGGCAATGTTCCCTCTAAGGACCAAGAGTGTGTGTGCAAAAAATATGTTGTGTGCGCGGTGCTAAAAATGACTTGGGCAAGTTAATATGTATTTTTAGTCTTGCAATTAAGCATAATAATGAAGGCATGCATTTTGATAAATTAATAGTATAATGTGTGTGACTTATGAAACATATGCAATTAAATGGAGATACGAATACCATCAAAATAAATAAAAAACTAATAAAAACGTTCAGTTATACTTAGACAACAAGTTATATGGTCGACTTACTATGTTAAAGTAAGACAGTCATATGGTAATAATGCTAATACCATAACGGTAATACAAACGCAATAGTTTAACATATGCAACATTTAATAAAGCTGACTTAAAAACAAATATTAGCTAACCTTTCAGGGGCATTTATTGCAATTTCTCGCGTCTAGCCTTACATTGCTTCCACACCTTATATGCTTTGTTCAAATCCACATCCTCTCCAGCATTTAGATATAATTTAGTTTGCATCAGATTCTCCAAATGTGTGGCTTCAAGTCTATTTCGTGCTTGCACTTTTATTATGTTAATAAGGCTAAAACCTTGTTCGTAATCAGCACTGCATGCTTGGAAGGTACAATAATGTCACTTAACTTTGCCAGTGAGCTAAATTTTGTTATTTGTTTTGACAAATCTTGCATATTCAGACATATAATTTACAGAAACAGATTTGAGTTTTTCACTTTATCGAAATTTGAAGTCATTGTATTGGATGGTAATTAACTGATCATTTGTTGTACGTAACCCGTCTTTGTACTTTACGCACAGTTGTTTGATATCTTTGACGCCGAACTCAAATGCATATTTTTTAAAACCTGTAGCATAAAAAAAGATGACAAAAACTGCAGTTCATCTCTTGGAAACCTAACATTTAAATGTTCGCAGACTGATTGTATGTACTGTGTGGTTTGCCTTGTGTCGATTCTTTCGTTTAACTCACACTTTTCTTGGCTTTAATGTTCAGTGTAGTGCTGTTACGCCTGTCTCCAGAGCTAAGGCATCACTTACAGTAAGCTGAGTTATTCCACTAAAAACGGTTTTGTAGAATACAGAATTGACTGGACGAAATTTAAAATAAAGGATTAGCATTTTATGTACTGTTATGCCATCAACTATAAGCGTGTGGAATGATGCTGCTCGAAGTTCTGTCAGTATGTTCTTTACAACAACTTCGTTAATTACTTGAACAAACTCAAAGGCGTATTTCTTACTTCGCCAACTGTCTGGTATTGAAACATACTTCCCCGTGTGGTTATGAATCAGTTGTACCGACCGCATCGAGGCGTTCATCTTAATGATAAGAAGAACATTATCCGTTAGGATTCGAACTTGATCCTCGTTTGATCGCTGGCGCTCGTTTTGCTCAATTAGTTTTCCTCGCTCAATGTAAGTTTCAACCATCAGACGTTTAAGGTCAGTTCCATGTGAGCTGTTGTAGGAAATCGCAACATTTCCTACGTAAACGAGAGACAATAGTTGACGTTTACAGTAGTCAAGCGCCCATGATTCCCAGAGCTTTCCTGTGACCAATTCGTTGTTTATGTTGGTTTTGTTACAAGTAGTAGCAGCACAGAACTTACACTTCAGTCTAATCTCATCTGAATATTCGTAGATGCTTTTTAATTCAACCGAAACATTATATGATATGGCGTATCGGTTGTTACTATAACTTTGAGCCATTCCAGTTTAAACGAATATATCGCTTTTTTTTGTGCCACATTGTTGTACTGCTTGTTACACACATTTTTCTTTTCAACATTTTCAAATAGCACACATTAGTGGACATTAATTCCTGATTTACCTAACCAGTCTGTGAATACTGAAACAGTTCGATCCAGGTGCACGTAATAATCCCAAAGAATTGGATATATAGTATATAAATCCTTAAACCAAACAGAAAAAAAGACATCCACCTTTAGTAAAGTAGATTTTACATCTGACTTGGGTAAACCGTCTTAGTATCAGGAGGTGGGTGGGGGTTGGGAGATGGGGGAGGGCAGTGACAATAGAAAATAAAACCTTGCATGGTCAGCTAGTAGCCACAATCCCTTTCCGGTATTAGGTGTCAGTAAACCATTAAATCAAGCAGAGGGAGGGTCACCCAGACATCACATCGGTACCCGCCCCGCTCAGTTTAGAGTGAAGTCATTAACTGGACCTGTGGTATGACAATGACAACCAAGGTCACCCCCCCCCCCCCCCCCAAGTCAATGATACCCCTTGGTTTCTGTTTATGCATCAAAACACAAAGACTGTTCGTTTAACAAAACAGGCAATAAAAATGTCGCTTAATTCAAACCACTGGCCACATTTTTTTTGTGAATCAGGCTAGCCCGACGTTCTGATAATCTGTGCGCGGGGTCAGAAAATGTCTGCGCGGCACATTTTAAAGTACTGCGCGGCCGCGCAGCCGCGCCAGTTAGAGGGAACACTGGGGGTGGGGGGAGTTAGTCTTTCCAGTCTTTTGATTCGAATATTTTGATGAAAGTCGAATTGGTCGAGTCGGTAAAGCTTATGGTTGCTAACCCGAAAAGTCTCGAGTTTGAACCCTTGGGCAGAAGAGGCTCGTTAGCTGGGGACAGCCACTCTTCTAGGAGAGACAACTCCAAAATCAAACAACTTCTGCCTTGTAGTTTGTTCTTGGTTGGACAAACGATATGGGAGCGAATCCGAAAAGAAAAGCAGGCTGACATCGGAGTCATTGTCCTAAATGTCGCATAACAAGTTGACAAGGGGATCCCTTCCAACGCT